CATATGCAAAAAAATAATATATATATATATATATATATATATATATATATATACATACATACATTTATTTATAGTAATTTGTATATACATTAATAGCATCACTGTGTTTTAGTAAACAAGTTCAGATGCTGTACTTGTTACAGGTTTAATAATGTTGGAAGATGTAAAAGAATATATTGCCTCATATTTGACTCCTTTATACTTTCATAACATGTTTTTACATGTTATTTTTCCATGTGTATGCTTAACCTGTGCTATTCATTTCTCAGGAGCGGTTATTCTTTGTCATGGAGTTTGTGAATGGTGGGGACCTCATGTTCCACATCCAGAAGTGCAGGCGTTTTGATGAGCCACGAGCACGGTTTTATGCCGCAGAGATCATTTCGGCCCTCATGTTCCTTCACTCCAAAGGCATCATTTACAGGTGAGGAATACTATGGACCATTTTAACATCACAGATCTCCTGTCATTAAATAATTTTTGAGCTAGCTGTGGAAGTAACTTATCTTTCCTCACAGGTATATTGTACAAAATATTTAATTCCCTTTTTAAATAGAAAGTGTATTTGAATTTCATAATGTTCATCTGAAAAAACTCCAGATGTTCACACACCAATGCCACTGCCCTCAGTTGTTTGCTTTGACATGCATGTGTTCAGCCTGTGAAATCTTGTCTGTGCATGTCCTGACACACTTAGTCAGAATTTACAGACAGTCTCCACCCCTGTCTTCCTTTTCCAGGCCGGGACATTGCGCTCTTCCTGGCTGTAATCACACGACCTTTGCCTACCTGAGTAAGCTTTCTGATCACCCCTGTAATAGAGCCAAACCCAAATATAAACACATCTGACAAACTGCTTTCTCATTTAAATGAGGCTTGTGACATTTACGAGCTTCCCTGTGGGAACTTTTCGGGAATGCCGGCAAACTCTGCTTGACCCCTTGTCGTCTTTACAATCATATGGCCCACCATATGGCCACTCTTGCCTTTCCTTTTGATTTTATTGGGCTTTAAAGCGAATTATTTTATGGTAATTATGTAACGCTTCTGTGAAGTGACATTCTTATGGGGAGAATGATAAAGAGTCCTGGGGAAGATGGCAGTATTGTAGTGTAAGAGGACTGTGGTTACATTTTGAGTGAGGACCTGAGCTGGTGTCATGACCCTGCCCAGCATGCAATCGATCTATTTTTACATGAGCTGTTTACTCAGGGAAACAGAGAGCGTGAGGGAGGGAGAGCGAGAGAGCGGCCTGTACACTGCTCTGATTTATCACATGACTTTGTTTGTTACAAAGTGCAGTATAGTATTATATGCACCGAGATTATTCCAAATAAATATTAAAAATGATTTTCATCAAGACCATTACAACATTTCAACATGGATTTTGCAGGACCACCTGTAACACAGCTCTTTTATATTCCAGCAGTCCAACGATTCGTTGACCTCTGAGTCATCAGGCTGTTCCTCTCCACTTTACCTTACTTACCCTCGATCCTATAGACGCTGCTGTAATGCCGTGTAATCTGGCTCTGCTCTAATCTGAGGACTGGACTATACCGGGTTCATTCAAAATGATTGGACAGTGCATGACGGAAACGAGGAGTCCATTAATGACTTTAGTGTTTTAGTCTCATTTCAGCAGGTTCTACCCAGAGGCTTGGAGAAACTGCAAATGCAAAGTGTTTATTGACCTCTCAAACTGTTCCACTGTTGCTAAATTACATCTGGTTTCCAAAAGGGCATCAGAAATGAAGCTCTTTCTATTATTGTTTTCATTTTTTTTAATTAAAGGATTAGTTCACACAAAAATGAAAATGTATCCATTAATGACTTTAGTGTTTTAGTCTCATTTCAGCAGGTTCTACCCAGAGGCTTGGAGAAACTGCAAATGCAAAGTGTTTATTGACCTCTCAAACTGTTCCACTGTTGCTAAATTACATCTGGTTTCCAAAAGGGCATCAGAAATTAAGCTCTTTCTATTATTGTTTTCATTTTTTTAAATTAAAGGATTAGTTCACACAAAAATTAAAATGTATTAAAAATGTACTCACCCTCAGGCCATCCAAGATGTAGATTAGTTTGTTTCTTCATCATAACAGATTTGGAGAAATTTTGCATTACATCACTTGCTCACAAGTGGATCCTTTGCAGTGAATGGGTGCCGTCAGATTGAGAGTCCAAACAGCTGATAAAAATATATTAGTAATCCACATGACTTCAGTCCATCAGTTACCTTTTTATCTTTTTAAATTGTGAAGTAAAAAAAGCTGTATGTTTATAATAAACAAATCCATTTCGAGAGTCCTCTATCCATATTAACATAGCATTCTCCAGTAAAAAAGTTATGTCATTTGAATCAGGAGAGAAATATGCACAGCTCAAGCACTACTTATAAACAAAAACAGTCCAAAACTTTTCTGAACAATTATATTAGTACATTTTTATGTGAGCGGACAACGGGTGATGAACTTTTTCACTGGAGGAAGTATTATTATGAATTATGGGCTTGTATTTGAGCCAGAAGTTAATTGATAGACTTCATGTGGATTACTTGTGGATTATTTTGATGTTTTTTTTATCAGCTGTTTGGACTCTCATTCTGACGGCACCCATTCACTGCTGAGGATTCACTGGTGAGAAATTTCTTCAAATCTGTTCCAATGAAAAAACAAATTAAGCTAATTCTTAGATGGCCTGAGTAAATAATCAGCAAATAAAATTTTTTTGGTGAACTATGCCTTTAATTGATAAACCATTTAATTATTTATCAGAATAGTTGGTGCTTGAAGACTTTTGTTGCAACATTGCAAAATAGAGAAGAGGTTGTTTTACATAGAGAAGAAAGTAGGCTATGCGGTTACGTCACTGACGGTTGGGCAGAAGACAGACTTGTCTATTTTTTACAGGGCCTGAAATATTTCTGCCAGTTCTTCAGCTGCAGATTTGGGCTGTGGCTGATGGCTAGGCTGGTGAGTCTGCCACACTTTATTTTTGCCAGTGCAAATTCTCCGACACTGTGAGCGAGAGACTCCGCATGTCTCTGCTCTTGTTCATTAGTCATAAAGTACAGGAAGTTAAGAGATCTTTTTGATTTTCTTGTCTTTCTCCCTCTTTTCCATTTGTGCCCATTACTTGATTCATGAAACAAGAATAACCTTTGTATAAATTGTTTGAGATGAAATAAGAAGACACAAATATTTTAAAATGTAATTTATTCCTGTGGAGGCAAAGCTGAATTTTCAGCATCATTACTCCAGTCTTCAGTGTCACATGATCCAGTCTAATATTCTGATTTGCTGCTTAAGAAACATGTCTTATCATTATCAATGTCAAAATGTTGTGTTTGTACAGTAAACAGGTGTGTGTGTGTGTGTGTGATCAGGATGACTTGTATTTGGCTTATTAATTACTCAAATGTTATACCCATCTATGCAATACACTGGAATACTGCAATAAATTTAGTATACCATCTTATCCTATTAGTCAAACATTTTTGTATTTATTTGTTATTATTATTATACCCTCCTTGGGTATAGTATATTTAAATAAAATATATTAAAAAACCTTTTTGAAAATAAGATTTGTACACTCATGTATTCAAGGTGTAAGGAAAATATGTTATTACCTTTTACTTGAAGGGTACACCCTGTGTTAATACCATTATAGTATTTTGAATTAGCTTTTTTATATATTGCCAGTTTTAATTTTATTTATAGTTTGAGTAATTTTGTTACGTGCTTTTGTATTATAAAGCTTCAACTTATACTTACATTTTATTTCAAATAGTAGATTATGTAGAATGGTACATTTTGGACAGCATGGTAATAATGTCATCCTGTTTTCTTCTTCTTTCAAAGGGACCTTAAACTGGACAATATTCTCCTGGACAGAGATGGCCACTGCAAACTGGCAGATTTTGGCATGTGCAAAGAGGATATACGTGATGGAAAACTAACTAGTACCTTCTGTGGGACTCCAGATTACATTGCACCTGAGGTGAGCATCACTAAAGGAAGCTTTAAAAGAAGATGGTGTGTGTGTTTTTTTTTCTTCCTGTATAGATGGTTTATGCTGTCTCTCTCTCAGATCATCCTGGAGGAGCTGTATGGTGTATCAGTGGACTGGTGGGCTCTGGGGGTGCTGCTTTATGAGATGCTGTCGGGTCATGCTCCATTTGAAGCAGAGACTGAGGACGAGCTGTTTGAGTGCATCCTCAAAGATGAGGTCATTTATTCATCCTGGCTCAGCAATGAGGCAGAGGACATCCTTAGAGGAGTGAGTCTAGATCTTCAGTAAAACAAATCTGATTAAACACAAAGGTTGTTTTCATGTGCTTTAAAAGTTTGTCTCTATAAATGGTCTTGAAATTGCACCAGTTTGGTTTTTGAGAAGTCAGGCTAGCATACTTAAATAATGTGATTGTAAGTCAGCTTTATTCAGCATGATTACACGTTAATATGACTACAGTTGGCCTATGGCTGAAAGACATAGGTATTTAATCAATCATGTGTTTAACTTCAAATATTTAATTATATATTCTACATTCTGTCTCCACAGAAATAAAATAATCTCCTCATCTCCTTGTTTATGACTACACGTCATTAACTGTGTGTGAAACTGTAAGGACCAGGACTGTTTGGCAATTATGCTAATTAAAATAAAACCAGAGCAATGAAGTCTGTAGCTTAATTACACAAAAAAGCCTTGTAGCTCGACTTCAGATGTAAAGGCACTCACAGACACCACTTGAATGAAATCCATTGTTTTGCACAACAAGTACATTTGTCTGACTTTTACTGGACAAATATCTTTACTTTTACTCTAAGGACACAACCCCAGTGTATTGACTTACATCTCAGGCAGCTATGTTGGGAAATATTATTGTTATTATTTCCTATATTATCTTTTATTACCATTACTTTGAAATACTGTTGTTGAATTTCTTTTCTTTATAGAGTATTTGTTTATCAGTAGACTTGACGTGAAAGAACCGATAACCGATTAATTTGAAAAGTGTGAATATTAGTGATAAATAAAATTTTTGTTTTGTAGGATTCTATTGAGGATGTGAACAATTTTGACCCTGACTTCACTCAAGAGGAGCCCTGTCTTACACCCATTGAAGACAGTCTTTTCCCTTTCCACCAGGACGATTTTAAAGACTTCACCTACACAGCTCCAGAGCTGCGACTGCACTAACATCAGCTGTGGTTTATTTATTTTTCATACATAGGTTATATGTTACTTTCCCTAAATAACTCCTTCTAGCAAATTTCATGTGATACATTCTGTTGCCAAGTCTGTCAAGAATATGGACATGTTTCAGACTTGAAGAATAAGGCAATACTCAACAGGACCATCCAGACCAAAGGATTATTCATAAAATGATGCTTTTAAAAATGTTTTTATCTGCTTAAATGTACAAAGTCTATCTTGCAGTATATTACTAGCATGATAATATGCATATTCCTGCAGTTGCCAAGTGCTTTGCCTTTCACCTTTATAGTAAGCACGGGAACAAATTCACAGCAAGTAACTTACATTGAGCAGTTACAGTATACTGTAAGTCAGTGTAATGAGTTGTTAAGTTATGTGACGTGTTGTTAAGTAATTCTAACTAAAATCTAAATTATGAACTTGGAAAATCCTTTTGTAACAGGCAATAAGAGACTAATTTAGTTTACCTAAAGCACATGTGACAACACATATCACCGGTCCAGTTCATTGAATAATGAATCAGGGGACCTGTGTTGTGAGATAGAACATGAAACTTTCATGAGAAGAAAAAAATAAAAACGTCCTTTACACCTCAAAGAACAAACAGAGCTGTGGTCATATGTCACATTTCTCTGTAGACATGAAAATCCTCCATGAATAATTTATTTCCCTTGATTCATTTTGTTTTTCTCATGAGCTTATCCTGTATTTGAAGCAGCCTTTATACACGGATAATATACCATATATTGGTGCTAAACCGTTAATGGGTTAAGATGCTTTTATGAGCATAAAATATTTAACGTCAGGTCAGTTCTACACTGCCAACTCACTTCTATTTAATTAAGTAGCTTATACAACGGCACTTACATTTTTTGGAAATTTGGTTGTAGTGATTATTGTTTTCTATTCAAGCATTCTCTTGTTTGAAAAGTGACATTACCCAATAAGGGTTTTTACACACTTGCCGAAAACCAGTTGTAACTGGAAACTCAGTGGCTGACACCGTTTTCTTTGGCATTTTTCTGGCAGACAATATTAGTGATAGTGAGGTAAACAATGACAAATCGTCTGCTTATTTATTGTCAAGCAATTTATTTTTGGTAAATATACTTAAGCCAGATTTAAGGACTATTGCGGGTTTAATACAGGTTAGGATCATTCGACAGAATTTGTCAAATTGGATATAACTTCACATAGAGAAGATTAGTAAGTTATATGATTAGTAAAGATTAGTAAGCTGTTGACAGTGAATATTTTAACGTATGGATTGGCCCCATTCACTTCTACTGTAAGTTTCTCACTGTTGCAATGTAAATATTTTGAGATTGTTACCAGGAGCATTTTCATGCAGGTGGTATGATGAAATACACTCCATACTGAATTCTCAGTGATGATGTGTGAAAAGTTTTGACTTGTTGTCAGGTGCTCTAGTGATTTTCCCAGTTAGGCATGTGGTGTGAAACTGCCAAAAACCAGCCATGTCTGGTTGGGAGGTGTCTTCATGACTCAAACCATTCATTGAGTCAGCACTGCTGAGAGGTTCATTGGGTTCCTCCAGTGAAAATGTGCCAAAGATATTGCATTTATTTTAGTGGTTCAAATTCAAAAATAATGGTCTTGGCAAGCAGACAAATCTCGTACTGGAATTGAAGCGTTTCTGAGTCTCTGCTAATTCTATTAAGAGGCTATTCTGTATACTGTAGTATTCCAGTAGAATTTGGCTGTTCACTTTTACACCATCAGAAATAATGTTCACATGATTAACTATTAAAAACAAACATTTTGGTCCCACTGGCTTGTTGGGAACATGTGAGTTTGGAGTTGAAATTAGCAAGTCCTGCTCTGTGGTGCTCCATGGAAAAACACTCCTGATGATACGTGATATTTGAAGATCTGCTAGATCTCAGAGATGGACATAATGTGATGACATTTTTAGAATTGGAGCAGAACAGTTCATATATGGCATTTTATCTTGTATCAGTATTTCCTAAATTTCCTCCCATGACATTTGACTCAGACTCTGACAGTCTGTAATTTGGCTTGGGCCTCATGCTACAAGATGTAGCTGGGAACACAGTGTTTACTGTGTTATTTTGCAGCTGATTGCTTTTGCTGAAGCATTCCCAGCAGCAACCTGGTAATTCCTCTAATCTGTCAGGTGCTGGAAGACTGAAACTCTTTTAAAACAGCAAATGACAACATTCAACATCAGCAAACTGGCATAAAAGCTCAAATCTTCTCTTTCATATCTGGATTAAGAACATTTATCAATTCTTTGCACAGTAAGATTTGTGTATGACACCACAGAATTGTGCAAGTCTAACTGGCTAACAATGAAGAAATGTTTTCGATCTTTTGCTTGCTGCTACAGTTTCATCAGCTTAATTTTTTTCATAGGACATATCCATGGATATTCCATCTTGAAGAGAATTTGACAGAATTGTGGGTTATATATGTGCATTTACATATGTATATAAACTACTTCTACTACTTAGAAATAACTTAAAGAATCCTGAATAATATAATTTAGATTTGTGGTGCTGAAAGAAAATATTTATAAAGTGCAAATGAGGTTACCAGCAGGAAGAAATAGAAGACCTCAACACATTTGCGGAAACTGCTGAAATTCTGTGGAACATTTCATCATCAGCACCAGCTACTTCCCTATACGACCATAAAATTGGCCAAAGTTAAGGCCCATTTACACCAAGACCAATATCTATTAGTTTAACCACCTTCTGGTAACCAAGCAGAACACTCTCGCAACCGCCTGCTAATCTGCGTGACTGAACAGCCTGTAAAAGCTTAAAATTATAAAATTAACTATATTTGATTTTGAGATTAGGCTTTGTCAACCCAGCATCAAAAACGGTCTCAACAAACCTTGCTTTTAGTTTCGTTTAAGTTTATAGGCAGTTTGCATTCCTTCACTCATGAAAATAGCATTCTTTTTTTTTTTTAAATAATGGCTATGAACTGTTAAAAATCCCTTTCAGAATGAATAAATGATAAATAAATTACAACTGGAGCAATAAATATATAAGAATCCACACCAACACACAATAACGTTCTGTTTTTATAAGTGTGCTGCAGTTATGTCATCTGCCCACTTTAAATGAAAAAATTAATTAAAATAAAAAAAATATTGAAAATGCTATTTTCATGAGTAAAGAATGCAACCTTCCTCAACTTTTGCCTCAACTCAAAATAAACTATAAAAGTAAGATTTATTGAGGCAGTTTTTATGTTGGCTTGACAGAGATTAATCCCACCATTTAATTAGTTAATTTGAAAGTTTTAAGCTTTTACAGACTGTAGTCTACAGTCAGCAGATTACCAGGGCAATGCTAGGTGGTTGCAAGAGTGTGCTGGTTGGTAACTGTGGTTAAACAAATAGGCTTGTTTGATGGTTGGTATGGGGTTTTGGCAAGTTGCTTGGTTATTTTAACTGGCTGTTCAGGTGCTCTGGCTAGTTACTGGTTCATTCTAGGGCAGGGGTTCTCAACTCTGGCCCTCGAGGTCCACTTTCCTGCAGAGTTTAGCTCCAACCCCAATCAAACACACCTGAACAAACTAATCGAGGTCTTCAGGATTGCTAAAAAGTTACAGGCAGGTGAGTTTGATCAAGGTTGGAGCTAAATATTCTACAGGAAAGTGGATCTCGAGGGCCCGAGTTGAGAACCCCTGTTCTAGGGTGTTCTGGATGGTTGTTAGTAAATGCTGAGGTCTTCCTGCTGGTTACTTGGAGTTGTTCTTCTGTTTGTTTTACAAGGTGGCTGGTGTAATTATTTGGTGAAGTAATTGTCTTCTGTTACCTAATCATTATTATAATCTCAAAAAATAATAATTAAAGATTAGACTTTATATTTTAACAGTAATTACTGGTTATAAACAGTACACAGTAGCCTATTCACTGAGCAGGAAAGGAAAAACTGGGAAGGATGGTTGTAGCACAAGCAAGTAATTTTAATTGATTACATCTGTGGTGAGATGGATAGTTGTGATTACATCACACCGTGGGGGTCAGCTGAACTGCTGCTTGGACTGATGTCCCATCGGTTCTGTGAATATCTTCTTGAGTGCGACACCGCCATCTGAAATATGCCTGTGCTCGCTCCCGTCTACGCCTCGTGAACGCGCGGGCCACAGAGCGTAGTAGCCAGGAGCGCAGGCACGATAACGCTTTGTACAGAGCAGACACTGCCCCGACCGGTGCTAGACAAGCGATTTGACCTTCCGCGAACCGGAGGCTTGATCTCTACCATTCAGACGTTTTCAGCACACCACACCGGACTAGTATCGTTTTACGCTCATTTTCTTTCGTAAACACATCTTTATTTGTTCGCGAGAGGTGGCCACGTCCTTTATTTTTCTGACCTCGCGGTTTGGAAAAACCTAACACATTCTGAGTGGTTTCACCCAGGAATGGATACTGGAGTTGTCACTGAAAAGAAAAGGTAGGGATTCCCGTTTCTGTTTCGAATAAAGTGGTCTGCTGAGCAGAATTGGTTGTTTTGTGCAGTAAACGGGCCGAAAGATATTCCTCCCCGTCACACAGAACGTGTCGCCATTTTGTGCTGGATGTTAACCAAGCGACTAAGAGCAAGATTAAAGCGCTCATGCCGACTATTTGTCTT